ACAAGCTCCACATTTCAATTGTGCCCAGCCCCTGCAGTTTCCTTCTCCATCCTATGCATCCTAAATCTTGCCTCATCGCCTCATAATTGCCTTTCCCCCAGCTATAACTCTTGCCCTGCGGTATATACCTATCCCTTTCCATTGCGAAAGTAAACGTAACCAAATTGTGGTCACTATCTCCAAAGTGCTCACCTACCTCCAAATCTAACACCTGGCCTGGTTCATTACCCAGTACCAAATCCAATGTGGCCTCGCCTCTTGTTGGCCTATCTACATACTGTGTCAGGAAACCCTCCTGCACACATTGGACAAAAACTGACCCATCTAAAGTACTCGAACTATAGCGTTTCCAGTCAATATTTGGAAAGTTAAAGTCCCCCATAACAACTACCCTGTTACTTTCGCTCCTATCCAGAATCATCTTTGCAATCCTTTCCTCTACATCTCTGGAACTTTTCGGAGGCCTATAGAAGACTCCCAACAGGGTGACCTCTCCTTTCCTGTTTCTAACCTCAGCCCATACTACCTCAGTAAACGAGTCCTCATCAAACGTCCTTTCTGCCACCGTAATACTGTCCTTGACTAACAATGCCACACCTCCCCCTCTTTTACACACCTTCCCTGATCTTACTGAAACATCTAAACCCTAGAACTTGCAACAACCATTCCTGTCCCTGCTCTATCCATGTCTCCGAAATGGCCACAACATCGAAGTCCCAGGTACCAACCCATGCTGCAAGTTCACCCACCTTATTCCGGATGCTCCTGGCATTGAAGTAGACACACTTCAAACCACCTTCCTGCCTGCCGGTACACTCCTGCGACCTTGAAACCTTATTCATGGCCTCACTACTCTCAACCTCCTGTACACTGGAGCTACAATTCAGGTTCCCATCCCCCTGCTGAATTAGTTTAAACCCTCCTGAAGAGCATTAGCAAATTTCCCCCCAAGGATATTGGTACCCCTCTGGTTCAGGTGTAGACCATTCCTTTTGTAGAGGTCCCACCTACCCCAGAATGTGCCCCAATTATCCAGGTATCTGAATCCCTCCCTCCTGCATCATCCCTGTAGCCACGTGTTCAACTGCTCTTTCTCCCTATCCCTTGTCTCGCTAGCATGTGGCACGGGTAATAAACCAGAGATAACAACTCTGTTTGTTCTAGCTCTAAGCTTCCACCCTAGCTCCTTGAATTTCTGCCTTACGTCCCCATCCCATTTCCTACCTATGTCGTTGGTGCCTATGTGATCCACGACTTGGGGCTGCTCCCCCTCCCCCTTAAGGATCCCGAAAACACGATCCGAGACATCACAGACCCTGGCACCTGGGAGGCAACACACCAACCGCGAGTCTCTCTCGTTCCCACAGAATCTCCTATCTGTCCCCCTAACTATGGAGTTCCCAATGACTAATGCTCTCCTCCTCTCCCCCCTTCCCTTCTGAGCAACAGGGACAGACTCTGTGCCAGAGACCTTCACCCCATGGCTTACCCCTGGTAAGTCGTCCCCCCAACAGTATCCAAAACGGTATACTTGTTATTGAGGGGAACGGCCACAGAGGATCCCTGCACTGTCGGCCTGTTCCCTTTCCGTCCCCTGACTGTAACCCATCTACCTTTTTCCTGTACCTGAGGTGTGACTACCTCCCTGTAACTCCTCTCAATTACCCCCTCAGCCTCCCGAATGATCCGAAGTTCATCCAGCTCCAGCTCCAGTTCCCTAATGCGGTTTCCGAGGAGTTGGAGTTGGGTGCACTTCCCGCAGATGAAGTCAGTGGGGACACTGGTGGTGACCCTTACCTCCCACATTCTACAGGAGGAGCATGCAACTGCCCTAACATCTATTCCCACTGTTCTGAATTCCCAAACAGACTATTGAAAAAAAAACTAGTAACCTCACCAAATCGGCGCTCAGAACCTTTTTTTGGATTAGAGGAGGAGGATGGGTGGGAGACACTACCTAGGTAGTGTTTCGGGTAAAGCAACCGCCCAAATATATTACCTCACTTACTCAGCCGTCCTGTGTCTGCTCCTGCTCAGCGTGCGCTCCGCCTATTCACGAGGTAAGTTTTTAAAGGATTAACTTACTTTCCCGGCAGCCCCCTGGTCCTCGCTCTCACTGCTGCTGCAAAAATGGAGTCACGTGAGATAAGACTTTTATAATCGAAAAGCTTACCTTCCCAGGGTGCCCTCGCGCTTCCTCCCGGACTCCCGCTGCTGTAACAACTGAAAGCCAATAGGCAGTCAAAACCAACCAGCGTCCAAGCTGAAAATAGTTGCTGAATCTCTTTAAATAGCACCGATCTTTCCAGCAACTGGATGCAGATTTAACTGTGTGAGGTAAAGGGTGGGCCTTAGCTTGGAGGGTTGAGGTTGAAATGTGTTACAGTCACACACTGTGCAATTGGTCTAATTTGTGTCACCCTTACAAAAGGTAGAACTGAAATGGTTTGTAACAGGCTATCTACGTATCGGGGTGGACGCTATTTTGGGACAGAAATGGCACACACATCATATTGAAAATTTAGACTCTAAATATCCAAATGGTGTGGCACAATGCTTGAATTTTTTATTAATTGCAGAACTTGAACAACGTATGTGTTTCCTTTCAGTTTAGAGACTACATTTTACAGGTTGAGAAATTGGCATTGCGCTGGACGTGGGCATTGATCACTGCTCTGTGTGCCTGCTCTGACATTGCTCTAGTAACAGCACACACCATGGAACAGGATTTGTGTTTCTGACATCAAACAGTGTTGCAGAATGATGACACCATCACTTGGTGACCGCACCCCACCAACAACCTCGGGGAAGGCCTATCTAAACCCAAGGAACTGTCAGTCACCGTCTTTGTTTTATTGCAAAAATATACTTTATTCATAAAAAATACTATCTGTATGTACATACAAAGGGCTCTCCATCTGTTCTGTACCATCTTTGCAGAGAAACAAGAGAAACACGAACAACACTTTGGAATTTGACATCCCTAGAGCTACAGTGCGGTTGCAAAAACAAAGACATATTTACGTTCATTTTGAAGCAACAGGGAAGTGGGAGATGGTTTTAAGAATTGAACAGAGCCCTGTTCTATTTTGGCAGAAAGACCCAGACAAATGGAGAGTGTTGCATCATACTCCTGACTTGTGTTTAAAGGGAGACAATCATTACAGGATGCAGAACTTCTGCCCTGCTCTTGTAGCTATTGTGGTTACTGTACACACTCATGCAAAAATTGATTCTATCCTATTCAGGGATCAAACTGCATTGTAATTATTGTTATTTCATGGTAATTATGACAGCTTATTAAATTGAAAACAATTTATTAATCTTTAGGTGTTTCCTCTGTCAATCTTCCAGCCAATTGGTAAGACCCATATGAAGGATATAGACTCTTACAATGCCTCTGAGAAAGAATCACAAGTTCACAGCTCAATGTACAGTGAGGAGACAATTGGCAGAATGTGTTGATGAAGCATCAGCAAAACAATTAGATCATCACCCACAAAGCCAGCGGACTCTGCTCTCCGAAAAGTAAGGTACAATGGTATTCTAGAACAGAAGACCAATGCTGGATGGTACACGGGATCCATGGAAAGGAATGCTTTAGTGCTCTGTTAGAGAATGAAAGTTTCAACAGTAGCTATCACTGGAACCTGATAATATTCACAAATGATACAGCTTCATCATTGGTATGTTGAGAGAGAAATACAAATCAATTGGACGGTATTGGAAATGGTAGTGAAACCACAATGAACAACAGTCAGCATGCTGGAAATGAGATTGTCACTGGGTTTGGTAGAAAACTATCTTTGTAAAGATGTATGGCATTTTTAAATCCTGCTAAAAATATTTACATTTATTTTGAGTCAGTGGAGGATCTGATACTGAATGGAGCCAAATTGTATTTTGGCCAAAAGACGTTACACAGTGGCCTTTCCCCACTGCACCTTCCCAGCAGCTGCCCCAAGCTTTAGTGCATCCCTCAGCACGTAGTCTTGGACCTTGGAATGTGCCAGTCTGAAACACTTGGTCAGGGTCAACTTTTTGCACTGGAAGACCAACAAGTTTCAGGCAGACCAAAGAGTGTATTTCACGGAGGTGATGGTTCTCCAGGTGCAGTCGATGTTTGTGTTGGTGTGTGTCCTGGGGAAGAGCCCGTAGAGTACACAGCTGCTCGGGACAAACTTCCACAAAAACCACAGCATCATTCTCCAGGATTCCCTTGCAAAGGCTCATTCCAGCAGGAGGTGTGTGACAGTCTCTATCGCTACCCCCGCAACCACTGTGCGGGCAGTGTGTGGTCGTGTAGAGAGTCCGGGTGTACATGAGGGGTCTCACAGGTAGTGCCCTTCTCACCACCAGCCGAGCGATATCTTGGTGCTTGTTGGAAAGTTCTGGCGATAAGGCATTTTGCCGAATGACTGACAGTCTGCTCAGGGAACAATCCAACAGGATCCACCCTCTCCTTTACCTGCAGAGTCTCGTGCTGACCACTTCCTGATGGACTTGTGGTGAAAGATGTTTATCTTCACAAATTTCTCCACGAAGGAACAGGTGATATGGGACGGTCCAACTACTTGGGAGTGTTCCACGGCAACGAGGCCAGTTCCATCCTTCACAACACCGGGGACATGTAGAGCCACAGTATGTGGTGACACTTGGTGTTTACATATTGAGGGCCCAAGCACAGTTTGATGCAGCTGCATGCAAAGAAGGCCATCAGGATGAGGGTGGCGTTGGATATGTCCTTCCCCACCTTAACTAAAGCTTTGTTCATGGTGTCCCTGCAAACATAAACAACCTTTGACTCTCAGGGAACCATCAGTCACCAACATAATCAGATCAGAACCAAAGGTCTGACTGATGATGGATTATGAGCACATCAAATCCCTTCCCCCTCTTTCTTTTGCAGGAAGTGACACTTATCGTGGTTATTGCTTCAGCTCAACTTGATATAATCAACGGAAAAACTGAAGCAAGACATGACTGTCGTTTTTTCACAGCACATGGTGCAAGCAGAGCAGACGGAACCCAGTCTCCAACAAGAGCTGCTTCAAATGGGAGGACCATCCATCAGAACGTCACATAACACATAACCTCAGGGAGCCACGGACCAGCAGGCTCAGTGAGATCTCATTTCAGCTCATTTCTGACTCTGCACGTGAGTGTGCATTGGTGTGTGTGTGTATTAATTGTGTATATTTGTGCTTGCTATATGTGTAATGGAGTGCATTAGTTGCGTACAACATGCATTGAATGTGTGAACATTATGTGTTGCCTAGGGGTGGTAGGGCACTGTTTAATGAGCAAGCATTCACTCAAACCTTGCTGCATGTTAAGTCCTCCTCGCTCATCAGTCGGGGCTTGCTGAACTAGTTTGGAACCTGGTCCAACAATGCCACAATTTTAAAATTCCATCAGGCTTTTCAGCTCTTCAATGTCACAACCTTCCCTAACCCCGAAACTTCCTCTAAGCCCCACAACCCTTCCTATTCCTGTAATCTCCTCCAACACCCACATTCTGTCCTATCTTTGTGACTTCTACCAGCACCCACATCCCTCCCTATCTCTGTAACCTCCTCCAGTACCTACATCCCCTCCCTATCTCTGTAACCCCCCCCAGCCCCTACACCCCTCCCTATCTCTGTGACCTTCTCCAGCTCCTACACCCTCTCCCTACCTCTGAAACCTCATCCAACCTTCAGACCCCTCCCTATCCCTGGACTCTTCTCCAGCCGTTGCAAGATTCCCTATCTCTGGTCTTCATCTTAAAAACCACTCCACAGTTTCTGAACCCTCTCTATCCCAGTAACTTCCTCCAGCTCTACAAAATCTCTTGCCTCTGCAATCCCCTCAACTCCATAAACCATCCCCAATGTTTGCAAACTCCACCTCAGCAGTCCTCCCTAACTTTGTGCTCTGCTCTAGCATCCCTCCCCATCTCTGTAACCTCCTCCACTCCCTACAATGTCTCCTGTGCCAGTAACTTCCTCTGGCCCTGCAATCCTCCCTTTCTCTGTAGCCTGCACTAATTGCTACAACTCTCCCTGTCTCCATTGGCTACTCCACCTTGGCAACCCTCCAAGGTCCTCCAGAACTGACTTTTTGTATTTCACTATAGACAGCTGGGCCTTTAACTGCCTGGCTCCAAACTCTTCAATTCCCTCTATAAACCTCGTCAAGTCTCCTCTCTCTCTCTCTCTCCTCTAAGGTTTCCTTAAAATGAACAGCTTTGACCATGTTTCTGTTCACATATCTGAACACCACCTTTTTCAGAATTGAATTATGCTTGCTCATGTCTCCTGTGAAATGCCTTTGTAGGTTTTTCTGGAACGATATAAATGCAAGGTTATTCTTGTTTTTCTTTTATTCACCAGATGTGGGCAGCTTATATTTAGTCTCCATACCTAATCACCCTTGAGATGTTAGTGATAAGTTGCATTCTTAAACAAGAGCAGTTCATGTGATGTTGTGACAGCCACTGCTGTAGGGAAGGGAGTGCCAGGATTTTGTCCCAGCAACAGTGAAGGAACGGCGATATATTTCCAAGTCAGGATGGTGAGCGGCTTGGGGGTATTTGCAACTGATGGTGTTCCCATATAGCTGTTGTCCTTGTCCTTCTACATGGAAGTGGTCATGACTTTAGAAGGTGCTGTGTGAGGATCTTTGATGAATTTCTGTAGTGCATCTTGTAGATAGTACACACTGCTGTTACTGAGCGTCAGTGGTGGAGGGAGTGGATGCTTGTGGATGTGGTGTCAATCAAGCAGCTGCTTTGTCCTGGATGGTGTCAAGCTTCTTGAGTGTTGTTGGGGCTACACTCATCCAGGCAAGTGGGGAGTATTCCATCACACTCCTGGCTTTTGCCTTTAAGGGAATTAAACATTGCAGGATACAGCACCTCTGACCTGCCGTTGTATTTAATGTAGAAATCAACTCTATCCTTTCCACGGATCAAACTGCATTGTGATTTTTATTTCACGGTAATTATGACAGCTCATTAAATTGAAACCAATTTACAAATCTTTAGGTGTTTCCTCTATCAATTCTGGCAGCATCCAGCCAATTGATAAGACCCATATGAATCTCATAATCTGTTACATCCTGAGAAAAAAAATCACAAGTTCAGTGGCAGAATGTGTTGATGAGCATCAGCAAGATGGTTAGATCATCACCCGCAAAGCCATTGGACTCTCTGTCCTCAGAGAATCAAAGTACAATGTTATTCTAGAACTCGAGACCAATGCTGGATGGTACACGGGATGTATGGAAAGGAATGATATGGAGGACAATATTTTTACATTTTCGTGTGTGGAATGAACTGCCAGAGGAAGTGGTGGATGTGGGTACAGTTACAACATTTAAAAGACAATTGGATAAGTACATGAATAAGAAATGTTTGGAGGGATATGGGCCAAGAGCAGACAGATGGGACTAGTTTAAGATAACAAGGCGCAGAGCTGGATGAACACAGCAGGCCAAGCAGCATCAGAGGAGCAGGAAGGCTGACGTTTCAGGCCTCGACCCTTCTTCAGAAATGGGGGAGGGGAAAGGGTTTCTGAAATAAATAGGGAGAGAGGGGGAGGCGGGTAGAAGATGGATAAAGGAGAAGATAGGTGCAGAGGAGACAGCCAGGTCAAAGAGGCGGGGATGGAGGTAGTAAAGATGAGTGTAGGTGCGGAGTTAGGGAGGAGATAGGTCAGTCCAGGGAGGACGGACAGGTCAAGGGGGCGGGATGAGGTTAGTAGGTAGGAGATGGGTGTGGGGCTTGAGGTGGGAGGAGGGGATAGGTGGAAGGAAGGATAGGTTAGGGAGGTGGGGACGAGCTGGGCTGGTTTTGGGATGCGGTATGGGGAGAGGAGATTTTGAAGCTTGTGAAGTCCACATTGATACCATTGGGCTGCAGGGTTCCCAAGCGGAATATGAGTTGCTGTTCCTGTAACCTTCGGGTAGCATCGTTGTGGCACTGCAGGACGCCCAGGATTGACATGTCGTCTGAGGAATGGGAGGGGGAGTTGAAATGGTTCGTGACTGGGAGATGCAGTTGTTTAGTGCGAACCGAGCTTATGTGTTCTGCAAAGTGGTCCCCAAGCCTCCGCTTCGTTTCCCTGATGTAGAAGAGGCCACAATGGGAACAGCGGATGCAGTATACCACATTAGCAGATGTGCAGGTGAACATCTGCTTGATGTGGAAAGTCTTCTTGGGGCCTGGGATGGGGTTGAGGGAGGAGGTGTAGGGGTAGGTGTAGCACTTCCTGCGGTGGCAGGGAAAAGTGCTGGGTGTGGTGAAGCTGGAGGGGATTGTGGAGCGGACAAGGGAGTCACGGAGAGAGTGGTCCCTCCGGAAAGCAGATAAGGGTGGGGAGGGAAAAATGTCTTTGGTGGTGGGGTCGGATTGCAGATGGCTGAAGTGTCGGAGGATGATGTGTTGGATCTGGAGGTTGGTGGGGTGGTATGTGAGGACAAGGGGGATTCTGTTTTGGTTGTTATTGCGGGGAGGGGGTGTGAGGGATGGGTTGCGGGAAATGCAGGAGACACAGTTGAGGGCGTTCTCGACTACTGAGAGGGGGAAGTTGCGGTCCTTGAAAAACGAGGACATCTGAGATGTTCGGGAGTGGAATGCCTCATCCTGGGAGCAGATGTGGCAGAGGTGAAGGAATTGGGAATAGGGGATGGCATTTTTGCAGGAAGGTGGGTGGGAGAAGGTGTATTCTAGGTAGCTGTGGGAGTCGGTGGGCTTGAAATGGATATCGGTTTCCAGGTGGTTGCTTGAAGCTGCTTGGCCTGCTGTGTTCATCCAGCTCTACATCTTGTCATCTCAGATTCTCCAGCATCTGCAGTTCCTACTATCTCTGGGACTAGTTTAGTTTGGGATTACAGTTGGTGTGAGCTGTTAGGACTGAAGGGTTTGATTCCAAGCTGTATGACTCTATGATTACTTTAGAGATCTGTTAGTAATTGTAAGTTTCACAGCAGCTACCACTGGATCTTTCTGATATTAACAAATGACACTATTTTGTCATTGGTATATCGAGAGAGACATGCAAATCAATTGGACTGCATTGGAAATGAACACTTGACATGCTGTAAATGAGACTGTTACCAGGTTTGGTGAGAAAATCATCTTTGTAAAGATGAATGGTCATAAGAATGCCCAGTACTGCACACGCTCCTCCTTGAAGAGAGATTTCAGAAAGAAGGCTTGTTCATGTTTGCAGCAAAGGGTAGATGGATGAAGGCAGTGGCAAGAAATGGAATTTGATACCAAGAGGATGACACAAAGAAACAAACCTGGGACCTGCTGAAATCCCAATTTTGTCAACATTGTTATCAGCAACGTGATAGCAGTGAGGTGTTGGTTATTACCAGCAGGTCCGACCAATGAAGATTCTGCCCCTGGCTACATGAATAAATAAAACTCTCAAAGACAGCACGCAAAATGTGTTGAACAACTGGATGTTGGAAGACCAAGAAAGATTTGCTGAGAGCAGAAATATGCAAGGAACCTCAACATGTAAAACATTGTGCCAGTGGGTCATAAACATGTGAAACAAACTTGATCCCAGTATTGTCAAAACCTTTCTAAAACGTGCCTAATATCAAGGTGCTGAATGGTACTGAGAGCAATTATTTGTGAATAATGAGGTTGGAGTGATTGATACAACCCACGATGTAGATGAAGGTGTATGTGATGCTGTTTTGAAACATTGGGACATGTTGTTCGTGAGTTGGAGGTGATCAGAGTAATTTAGATCGATTTCAGTGTGAAGTGTTGTAGTTCTGGTCATTAATTTGTTATGGTACATACTTATATTGCGTTGGACATAGCTTGGAATGTTATCAAATAGATAAATATTAGAAACACGAATTATTTTGTGTTATTGCTTTTAAGTTTTATCCCATGATGAAAGTCTTCTTGTGTCTTAAATCGAGTAAGCATGTCAATCCCTCAAAATGCTTGCCTTGTAAAAATCATTCCATGAGGTTTGGGTCAAAAATTGGACCCAAAGCTTTACTATTTACACTATAGATATGGTAAATGGCTGCTGTATGTTTCTGATCAATAGGAACCCCAGGAGATTTATGGGGAGGTTTTTCAATTCCACTAAATATCAAAGGGAGCTGATTCCAAAGTTGTTAATTGGAGATGGTCGTTGATTG